CGAAGTATCGATATATCGATACTGACGCGAGTATCGAAAGTATCGATACTCAAACTAAAAATATCGATACTAAGGTGTTTTATTTACCAGTGATTTTGTTTAACAAAAAAATAATAATGCGTACAATATGCATTGAAGTGGACGAATAACCTTTGTTAGCGAGCAATTGTGTAGGATAGAACTATTTTCCTGCTCATCTGAACACGCAAATGTTGGAAGACAGAACCAATCAATCACACAGAGCATTCACTCACTTCTGACAGTGCATTCAGGGCTGCGTTTCCCAAAAGTATCATAAGAAAGCATTAAAGTTTTGGGAACGGCAGCCCTGAACAATGCTTATCAGAGGACAGAAGGACAGAGTTATTTCACAATAAACAAACTGAAATTGTAGCCTACATAGTTTGTGCAGTTACAGTTATTTAAATTGAAAGTTGAAAGATAATATTGATCTATTCTGTAATGTTAATAGAAATCATACAGTATAAAAAGGTTGCATTTTATGCATGCAACAGCCGGTCACTGGCAGTCCCTTATGAAAATGAACCATGGTTTTACTAAAGTGACCGTAGTTCAACTGGAGTATTAGTAGATTTGAATCATGTGTAAACAAAAAACATATTTGAACCATGTGTAAACAAAAATATAACCTAATACGTTACAATTAAGGCGTATTGAATGTTAAAATGCATTTTAAACAAAGTTAAGCGCTTATCATTACCCATTTTACTCTTAGTAATTTAATAATTTAATACATTTCATAATTTAAAAGTTTAGTGCAGAAGTATCGAATCAATATCGACGATACTGCCTTGAAAAATATCGGTATCGTATCGAAAACAAAATAAGTGGTATCGCCCATCCCTACTTTTCATTGCACTGAAACCGAAGCATTCCTTTAACATTCCTCCTGTTACCTTGTGCTCAGCCTTTATTTGTTTCCTAGTTTTTCCTCACTGTCCATTTTTCCATCATCTCTCTGTGTGTTGGTGGTGTGTCTCATTTGTGTTTGTTCGGCTCCGTTCCTCCAGGTACTTCTTCCCTCATTTGGACTCCCCCAGAGCGGGATCTCGCCTGGCCCACCTCCTGCCTCCCCCCTCTCTCATCGAGCAAATGTATGAGCCTGATCCGTCCCACGCTCCTCAGATACTTCAGCGACACACGGCCAGCGAGCATGACTGAGTGAATGAACATCACACTAATCGGCTTTTTTATGGTTCTTCACATTTGGTGTGTATAATTTGTGTCATCAAATGTGTTCGCTTTTTTGGTTATTTAATTTTCTTTATTAACATTATCAAAATGGTCTTTGTTATGTCCAGATCATAGTTTACTCTAAAAAATAAATTATGATAAATTACTATTTAACTATTTTTGTGATTGATTTACTGCTATATTTATTTCAAGTATTAGGGAGAATCAATAAATTAAGAATAATTTATTGCTATTACATAAATAATATGTAATTATGTAATCAATAAAAAAGTAACTGTCTGATTACGAGTATTTTAAAATTTAATTTAATCAAACAAGTATATATATATATATATATATAT